GGAGGGAAGGTTTAAGTTGGACATCAGGAGGCGCTACTTCATGGTCAGGGCGGCTAGGGTCTGGAACCAGCTTCCATGTGAGGTGGTGCAGGCTCCCACCCTGGGGGTTTTTAAGAGGAGGTTGGATGACTACCTTATTGGGGTCATTTGACCCCAGTGCTCTTCCTGCCATGGCAGGGGGTCGGACTAGATGATCTGCTCAGGTCCCTTCCGACCCTAGAAACTATAAGTAACTAATTTACTCTTATGATGCAAATTCAAAATGAATATTTAAGAAACTCCATCCCTACCAATATTAAGAGGTAGAACACAATAGGCTGAGTCAGCTTCTGTAGGTTTAAACTCTAGTGCAGGTTTCTCAAGCCGAAGAATATGTGAGAAAATGTACTGGTGAAGGCGTGTGATCAGCTCAAGCATTTGTAAAGACAACATAAAACCAGATTTCTTTAGTTCAATAGATGTGGTAACCTCTCCGGAGCGTGTATACACAGGAAAATGAGGAATCTAAGTAAACAGAGAGAAAGCAAAAGATCACATAAATTAGAGACTAAAAAAATTTTAGAAAATTCCATATATCCCTCTTCCAGAGCAGGAATATGCCAGTTGCACAGTAAGAGACCTACATCTAAACCAAGTGCATTATTTATTAATTTACACACATGGAAATAAAAGTGGAAGCCATTAGTTTGGTCCCAATGTGATGCTGAAAGACAGTTCCATGGTTAAGAAAAAATTAAATACTTCAACTATTGGAACATCTGGTCATCTTATTGTGGGTTGTGCCTCTCAAGGCTCAGAGGCAGACCAGACCTGAAAAGGAAACAGCCACATGATGACTCCATCTCTTGAAACAGAGTGGAACACTGCTGAAGTACTAGCTCATGCAAACAATCCTGCAATTTGTAAAAGATTTTTTTTTATTGGTGATTCACGTAAAGACAAAATTATAGCTCAACTGAATTGGCTAGGAGTCCCTAAAGAAACTTTTCAGAATACTTAGGTCTTTGCTGAGCTTTATAATTTTCGTCTGTTTTTTTTTTTTAAAACATTTTTTCCCCTCAACCTTAAAGCAAAATATTTTGGCAACTTTAAATTTTATTTTGTTTAAAAAAAAATAAAATAAAATTGCAAACCTTGCCCCCCGCTGCTTCTAGCAGGCCCATGACCTAGGATGGAAACTTAAACGTTGGCAAGAACCTGACCCTCAAGTTAGAAAATGTGCCTTTTGCAGGTTCAACGAATAAAGACATTTCTTACTTGACAATTTTTTTCTGTGTTAAACAGCATTTCTCACTTACCATTAATGGGTTAATGTCTTCCCACTCCCCAAGGAATGTACTGTTTTCATAATTAGCATCAAGAAAGCTCTATGCCTCAGTCTTGCTTTGGAGACAAAAAATGTATTCTGGCTAGGATTGCATGCATAGGGAAAAAAGCTGCCAACAGGAATAAAAATTACCAGGCAAGAAATTTCTTTCTTCACTCATAAACCAATTTGAAGTAGCAAAAAACTGAACCAGAAAGGAGGGAAAGGGTAAGCAGAATTGTAATTATCATCAAAGTAGAACAACAGGCAGGTAAGCAAGTTCCCCTGCTATTAAGATAGGAAGGTTGGAATCAGTCTACCAACACTTTCTAATCATAGGACACTGCCCCAGAGGAACAGAATCTTACTTTTCCAATCTTCCAAAATGAAGGTGGCACTTCTCCCCCTCCCCAGTAAAGTCACAGAAACCCACATAAATAAAGTTCTATCTAGCATGTCAAATGGTATAGGATTTTAAAAATTTCCTTTAGCAGAGCTTCAGGGGTCTGCAGCCTTGGCATTTTCAACAGCGTAAAATGCACAGGATAAATCTAGTGTATGCTTTGTATATGCTCAAAAATACCTTCAGCAATAGGAATGCCACTTAAGTTATAACCTTCAGAAAAAAGTACTAGGGTCTAGAACACAATAATGGGATAACTATTTCCCTAGCATTGTAGGGAAAGAGACAATTTATCTTCAACAGAAAGATTTCTGGAGTAATAAAAACAACATTTTTTTCTCACAGCAGCAGCAGCGTGATTTTTGAATAAGTAGGGGGATAATTCTAAAAGCTTTAAAAATTTGAGCTAACTAGCTTTATCTGTCATACCAATTCACCTTAGGTCTTCATTTGAATAAGTTCAGATGCTATCTATGGGAAGCTCATTTCTCTGTTGCTTGGTTGCAGAACTTCAAGCAACTCAAGAGTAACTGAGTCCACCAGAACTTTGTGACAATTACTAATATTTTTGCACTCCGGGAGAATTAGACCATTGGTTTCAAGCCTGTTAGACTTGAGGCACCCCCTTGGAAAATGTCAGATCTTAGTTTTCACTCATTTTTTGACTACAGAAAAAGGGAGAGGGAAATTCTTGCAAACTCAGAAACACCACAACAGGTGAGAATGTTTTTAAACACTATGATTCCTATTTGAAATATCTGGATATTTGCACACCTACCAGTGCTAACATTGCATGGTGTTCTATGGCACCCTTGAAAGGATCTCAAGGCACTCCAGGGTGCTGTAATACCCTAGCTGAGATTCACTGATATAGACATACAAGGTCCATTTATGCCAAACGCTGTACAAATCAGTGGCAAACTTATCCCAAGCACCCTTGTTTCCTTTTGCCCCAGAAAAATAAATTTTTACTAGATCAAAGAATGACATTTTCTAACAGAGAAATTTTGGCTTGGATGCCAAAATACCATATGTACTAGATTCAAAGGTGAGTTTTTCTCCCCCATTTGATATGGAGGGGAAAAAAGCTGCTCATTTTGGAATTGAGTATGAGGTGGCAGGGGGGCCAGCAAGCACTGTGGCTGTAGCTCCAGCTCTGACCAGGGCTGGGACTGGAACTGCAGCTGCTGCCTGCCCTACCCTCTGCCTTGGACCCCCTGCCCTGCCATCATCTCCTTCCAGACCACAGCCTCAGCCCTGCCTCCCTCCATCCCGCTTACCCTTGCTCTGGCTCCAGCAGGCTCCACTCCCACAGCATGGAGCATGATTGCACCAGGCCCACAGCAGCTGAGGTTGCAACCCAAGGTGAGAGGGGAGAAGTGGTGGGGGTAGATAGACAGGCAGCAGAGGGTCAAGCTCCACTGCCTAGCCTCCTGCCACTGCATTCCTATTGCAGCAGTGGGGGTGAATTTAAAATGACCCTCCAATAATCACGTGAAGAATGTTAATAAATTGATATTTTTTCATGTATAGAATTTAACTTTTAGGGGATCATCTTAAATTCCAGGTCATCTTGGATTTGGGTAAATATGGTACACAGAAGGTTAAGGGAAAAATCCATGCCAAACTACACTTCTGTGCTGGGGCAAAGCCTGAGCTCCCCTAGCTTGGATGTAGCGGAATCTCTGCTTGAAGAGATCTGATCTTTGTTGTAGGTGCAATGTGGGTTCTTGGCTATTTAATCTAAAATGCGAAAGGGGCATTCTAGATCAGAGAAGGAATAGCAGGAACTCTTTTTCTATTTTCTCTATCTGCTGCTTTTTGTACATTTTGTGAACTAGTTTGAAAGACAGCCGATTCTTCCATGTTGAGAACAATACATCCATTGCTACAAAAAGTCTTTAAACATCATTATTCCCCAGATGAAGCAGTGTTAAAGTTGGAGGGGTTTTGCTACATTTATAAATATACTACAGGCTTATGCACACCTAGCTGTTACAGAACAACAGAGGCTGCAGGCTCCAGAACAGCAACTTGCCCCTCTCCAAATGAAACTACCCTAAGTCTACACCTAATAATGCCCTAAGATAGCTAGAAAGAAGCTGCGAATCTTAATGGTAATAATTATGTACAGGAACAATATACTGAGGGTTGTAATAGATTCTCCATGACTGAAAATATTTAAATAAAGAGTGGAAGTTTTTTCTAAAAGATATGTTGTGGTCTAAACAGGACTAATTCAGGGAAGCTCTAAGATCAATATAGTACAGGAAGTCACACTAAAGGACCAAAATAATTCCTACTTGCCTAAAATCTTAAATAGTTTGGATTTTTTTCAAGAGTTTGAATAATTGCTTCTCTTGGAAGACTGATAAAGAAGCAGAAGGCTCCTCTCATGATGTGAAAGTATCAAAAGTCCTTGAGAGCAGAGTAATTTGAAAAGTCTACATTGCAACATTTCTTCCAAAAGGTATCAAACTCAGCAAGCTGAAGCCTCTCTTATAGGATGACAGATACTAATGAAGACAATGTCCCTTCTATAGGTCGCAGCTTCTGTATGGAGTTTTTACCATCTTTCTGTCTTTCCTCACTAGTAAAAAGGACAGTGCTATACTTTATGACCCTACTTCAGGGGCTCAACTCTAGTGAGAGTTCAGGGAAGACAATCAAGCAGATGTTTCTATCTAGAGTTTATCTTTACTTGTTTTATACAGAAGTTACTAGAAACTGAAAGCGAAACAATGATGCATTTGCCATTTCCTTCTGCTAATATGAATGTGTTTGAAAGCCTTCGTTCCATTATTAAATGGTTAGCAAGTTTTACAGAGTACAGGCAGAGAGGGCCATTGGCAGTAACTGGCTTGGTCATGACCTATACCCTAGCTGATAGAGGAATAGTAGGTCATCAGTGAAATTAGAATGAGTTTCCTAAGGCTCATTCTTGTAATGGAGCTCATCTTTCCCCCCAGAAAACAACATAGTATTATTCTGAAATAAACTTAATGAAATGCAGTAAAGTGCAATTGCACTTAAGATGGCACATTTAAATTCACAAATACAGACTAGGGAACAACTGACTACACTGCAGTACTACAGAAGAATATTCATGGATTATAGTAGTCTGCAAGCTTAATGCGAGTTAATAATGTGCTACTGTTGTTAAAAAAAACCCAACAGCGTAATAGCATTGTATTATAACAAATGTAACATGCAAGTCACAGGAAGCAAGTCTTCCATTACAGTCAGCAGTGGTGAACCCTCACCTGCAGTACTGTGTCCAGTTTTGGGTACCATACTTCAAAACAGACAAAGACAAATTGGAAAGAGTCCAGGGGAATACAACAACAACAACAACAACAACAACAACAACGAGAGATCTAGAAAGCATGATATATTAGGGAAGGTCGGAAAATGGGATTATTTAATCTGGGGAAGATGCAAGCGTTATTTGGTTACAGTTTTCAAGCTCATAAACACTTTTTAAAAGAGGGAAAGACAATTCTGCATCCAAAGGGGTCAGGATAAGTTGTAAGGTGCTTAAAAAGCAAAAAGGAAGCCTATGGTTGAACACTAAGAAATACTTTAAGTATAAGGCTGGATTAGGCACTGAAGTGGACTGCCTAGGGAGACTATGGAATCTCCATCACTGGAATGTTTTACATACAGGTTAGACAAACAACTGGCTGGGATGATGTGGACAGGGCTGATGTCGTCTTTACCTGGGACTTGAACTAGATCAGGCTAACCTGTGGCACAGTTGCCACAAGTGTCATGAGCAGCTTATGTATACAACACGTGGCAGATCACAGAGGGGATAAACAACAAAGCTGCAGATATGGTAGGGAGCAAAAAGCAAAGCAACAGATCAGGCAGGGAGCACAGGGAGGGAGAAGGTGAGCAGCAGATTAGGCTGGGGGAGGGATTCAGAGTGGCACTCAGAGCAGGGCTAGTTTGTGACAACTGCCAAAAAGTTCAGCCACAACCAGACCACTGTGGTTCCTTCCATCCATTTTCCACAGGATGATCAATAAAGCCTTATCTCCCATTTTCAGCTCAGATGAGGCTTGATGGTGGCGCACAGATGTTTCCTACCTCAGAGGAACTTAACATTATGAACCATAGAACATAAGATTTAAAACAGAAACTTTGATGGGAATTAGTTAAATTCTGGAGGAAGCTACCTAAAACATGTTCTATGACAGTCTAGGCCAGCTATTTGTCAGGGGTGCCACGAATTAGCCCAGCACCCTCCACAAGCACTACTCCCATCCCCTTCCTTTGTCTCATCTGCTGCTCTGCTTTCTTCCCCCTGCTCTGTGATCCATGCCCAATCTCCTGTTCTGCTTCCTGCCCTACATGCTGCTATGTTGCTTGAAGGTTGGCCAGCCCTGTTCTATGGTAACAGTACACTCAGTATGCAAGGTCATTCCGGGAGGCAGAGTTTATATCTGGTCTGACCTGGCCTTCCTCTACTCCTTTAGTGAAGAACAATCTGTGATAGGACTGTCAGGCGTAGGAGGACATAGGTTCATTACCTGAGGTATAGGCTTGGCTGTCAGTATTCCAAAGCATCTTGCTGTATCCTCAGGAGGATATAGTTTTCGCCTCCTAAAATTGAGCTCATCAGGGAGAGGGGTAGTTAATACCATTCCTATTACATATAGATAACAGGGCTGATCGGGTTTGGGATAACTATCCCTCAAACATTCTGGAATCTACGACCAAAAAAAAAAAAAATGTTAATACATTAAAATGACTACTTCAGCAAAATTTACTTAAATACTCATTACTTAAATACTTAAACAAACCTAGTACAGGATTTGTTCACATAGATTTTTTAAAAATATTTTACTAAGCTAATTTGAAGATATTTCCCTAAAATAATATGCAAAATTTATCCTAAGTTATCCAAACTTTTCCTCCGAGTTATAAAAAAAAAGACCCATTATGACTGATCACACCAGCTTACTTTGTAAAGTTGGGGGAAAAACAAGTCCTAATCACAAGGGTTTTGGGGTTTTCCATTTCCCATGGAAAAAACAGAGAAGACCATGGATTTCCCATTTTTATCAGAAAAGATGTGGATTTTCCCTTTTAGAAGAGAAACCCGTTGATTTCCCCCTTTTGCAAAGAGCTCAGCACTCTGGCTGAGTTCCAGCCTACAAGACCAGTTTGCAAAAGGGGCGGGAAACCTTCAACCCTGCCCAGCTGCAAACCTTGAGTTGCAAACACTGCGCTCCCCACCCTGCTGCCCTCCCCCAGGCCCTCTGGAGCACAGCGTGTGCAACTGGCACAGCAGGGTACAGTGGGGTCATTCATGAAAGCTGCCTGTGGCTGCAAACTCTGTGCTGCCCTGGCCACACTTCCTCTGTGTGCATGGGGGCAGTGCACACTTGCCCTGTCCCCCCCCC